TTATTAATATTGCATTTCGATCCCCATGCAAAGCATATATGTGTATCTTAACAATAATTAACCATTTTAATTAACTATAAAAAGTATTTTAATTAATTTAATTGACCCTCCTCTAATTGACAGGAATACCCAAACCCTTTTTACACGTGCAACCGCTTACGCGACTTCCTCCCTCGAGAAACCGTTTGACGTTGCTGCGGGAACAGCCACACAGAAAAAAAGGGTTTGTCTATTTCTTCCTAATATACTTATTAATTCCAACCGACTGGGAAGGGAAACGAAGGTAGCATTTAGTTTTGGATCTGGCTTTCGATCTGTTCAGGTTTTAAGCTTACGAAAGGAAGAAGGAAAGGGCGGGAGTCAAAGTCAAAGGCAGCGGCCTTTAACGAAGTTTGACACTTTCCCCAGACAGTGGATGGCTCCCTTAATTTCCTACCATTGGTTCCACAAATTATAGACATGGATTAGGTTTATTCTGAACCCATATATGGACATATGCCATTTTGGTTTTAATCCCCCGCCTCCATTCCCTTTGGTTGGTCCAAACTGTCCAAGGTACTATAGAATGCGTCTATCCATGCTGATTTCCAGGGGACTGTTTTGGGCCCAAACTAGACTCAAACGCAGCGACCAAAATCCACCATAGTCATTGGATGGTATTTTTTGACAATAATCACACAAACAAATACGTAAAAGGGACACGCGACCTAATATTTACCTCGTTTTCTTAATGGTGTCGTTGAGACTGGTCCACGACACAACAACATATTTCAATCTTATGTCACGTACACGATGACTTTAGATAAGTCAGTCATGCTACATATGTATACTAACTGTCCCAAACCCTAGCTTCAATCCTCGCATCATTACTTAAAGACTAATCAAATTGTTCATGCTGACGCAATATCAATTTGTGCGTGTGAGAAACCAATGGCGTGTAGAAGAAACCACATTGGTTAATAAATCCGCCATTTAATCTTCAGAAGTAATGTACACGAATTTCACTTCATCCTCTGTCACAAGATGCCAAATATGGTGGATGTGCACTTCCCATCTCAAGACACCACCCGTAAGTAGCACGTCAAGTATCCAGGTAACCTGCATAATCCGCCTTTGCATAAGCCACAATAACTGGATCAGAACTTGTAGGGAAGAGAAGTCCCACATTCTGAGTTCCACCGAGATAACACATAATGTGTTGAATACTCAACCACTGAGACTTCAAATGAGCTAACATGAACTGATTAACTACTTGTACAACATAGGAAATGTCGGGCCTTGTATATTTAAGATAATTCAAACTTCCAACAATGTTGCGATACAAGGAACCATTTGTCAACAACTCACCTTTAGACTATCGCAACCGAAGATTCTATTCCATTGCACTAGCACAAACCATAAACTCCTCCTTCTGCGCATCCTACAGAAGATAGATAAATCTCCACTACAACAAGTTTGGTATGTCACATATTTTTTCACTATAGTTACCCATTTCGTCATCATATTCATATTGTGACGAAAATAAGAACCTCGTCGTAATAGATCTATTGTGTCAAAATTACTACATTTTTATACAATAGTGTCCGCCACATCGTGACAAACATTTCCCGTCATATAAAGGTGTTATTATGACAATAATTTTCTTAAAAACAAGGTGCAAATTTTGTCACAATATAGGTTATTTACAGTAACTTATTGTGATAAACTTGTATTTTATGACGAACTTGTTGATCACAGGGTTTGTTGTAATTATGACAAATCATGTTCTACGAACTCGTCGTCATGTACATAGATGGTGTGGTGGTGGTGATCTGGCGGCGGTGCTCTTGAGGATATAGTTTGTCTCTGCTGAATAGTAAGGAGAGAGAATCAGATTGAGAGTTCGGCTGCTGTAGACTTCTCCAACCCCTCGCTCAACATCTAATCCACGATTCTTAACGGAATTTCATTCCATTATTGTTGAATTCCCCACTATCCAATCTGTTTCCAATAATTCATTTTATTACTGTCGACTTCTCCAGGTTTTCTCACTATACAAAGTAGAATTAAAATGGTTACTTTTACCATCTTATTGTTCTGCTTCTTGTTACTTCTCGATGCTAGCTAGGGTTCTTGATTCTTGTTGCTTCTTTGGCAATAGATTGGTGCTAGCTAGGGAGCATCATCATTTGAGTAGTGTATATCAAAAAGAGTTTTGTTTGGATTTGGAGATACATATCAAAAAGAGCTTTCTTGTCTCTGATTTGGAGTTAGCATTAGAGTGTACATATTGCTTTTTGTTGCATTTTACGTATTACTTTTTTACTTGGAGATTAAGTAATCGTGTCATACAAGGAATGTGACTCCTTGTTGTAATTGAACTCGAGTGTCCTGGGTGGTTTCCTAGCCGAGTTCTCTTGTATTGGTCTTTATATATTGCTAAGATGTGGTCATGTCACAGGCAAGCAAAGTATTCGTCACGTCATAATACAATTCTCTGCCGTGAGCTCCTTCGAGGTCACCGTGGATTAGTCTCGCTTAATCCGAGCGAGGATATCATGTAAAACCCTCGTCTTGTACTTTCGTTATTTCGTGTTGTTAATTTCTTCATGGTATCAGAGCTGATTACGTTCTTAGCTAGGGTTTTCGTTTGGTGAAGTTGTTTCATTTTGATTTCTTGCCACGGGAGTTGCTCATCAGGTCATAGGTCCAACATCGCCGATGTTCCTTCATCCATCGGACACACCGAGTCAAGTCTTCGTAGCTGATCTTCTGAAAAATATGAATTATGGTGAGTGGTCCGCAGAGATGTCCAATGCTCTGCTTGACAAGAACAAATTAGGGTTTGTTCTTGGAACCATCGAGAAGACGAAAAGTGGAGAGCTCCTTAATTCTTGGACGCGATGTAACTCCATGGTTGTTGGCTGGTTGCGGCAAGGCATGTCTGGAGAAATACGGAGCAGCCTTAGCACGAGTTTTACATCGAAGTAAATCTGGGATGAGCTCCTAGAGCACTTCAGCACAGGCAACTTGCCAAGGCGCTACAAGATCTGTTGACAGATCATGCCTCTTCGGTAGGATCGCATGTCGACTATCTATGCAAAGTTCAAACGACTCTAGGATGATTGGTTGATGCTGGATCCGCCAGCGAAGTGTACGTGTGGAAATTGTTCCTGCAATGTCGAGCAGCGAACTAGAGAATCACACGAGGCCATGAGGTTGCTGGACTTCCTGGTTGGTTTAGATGAAAATTATACTACTGTGAGAACTCACCTGGTGTCCTTGAAGCCGACCCCGACTCTTGGGGAAGCTTACCACGTCGTAGCAAACGATGAACAACAAAGGAACATCAACAATGATCAAAGACCTCACGTGGATGCTGCAGCTTTCCAAGGACAGGGGGAGCGTTCATCTTCTGATGATCGGACGAGTGATGGCCGTCCAAGATGCTCGCATTGTGGCAAGGTTGGACACTATCGCGAGACATTCTACGACATCATTGGGTGGCCCCCCAAATGTGCGGAGAAAGGAGATAAGCCACGCCGTCGAAACCAGAAACAGCACCAACCACCTCAGGATCCTCATGCTTTCCTCAAGGTTGGTCCGCTGAGCTCCAATACTCAGCCAAAGGCAAATATGTCAGGTACGTTGGACACACACTCTTTTGGTACATGGGTAATTGACTATGGATGCAATGAACATATTGCTAAAGATAAATCTTTGTTTGATGGCGAGTTGGAGAACAACTCGGGCTTGCAGGTAAGGATTCCCAATGGTAAGGGAATATTGGTTCGTGGAGTTGGGTTTTCCAAGCTAAATAATAGATTAATCCTACTTCGTGTCTTACATGTGTCCGAATTCCAGTGCAATCTATTATCGGTCAGTCGTCTCACAGCGGATCATCCAGTTGCTGTGATTTTTCTGAGTAATTTCTATGTCATCCAGGACTTACACTGCAGGAAGATGATTGGGATGGGTAGGCATGTAGACGGTCTTTATTACTTGCGTGTACTTGATGGGCAGCATCCGGTGGCTTTCTCGGCACAGCAAGCATTGAAGGATTCTCAGTTATGGCATTCGAGGCTGGGACATCCATCGTCGGCAAAACTTTCTGTTTTACAGTCTTCAATTTCCAGTACTTTGATAACTAGCAAAGAACCATGTTTATCTTGCTTGCGATGCAAGCAAACTCGGTTACCTTTTGTTGAGAGTTCTATTAAGACGAAGTCGTGTTTTGAGTTAATAGATGTTTATATATGGGGAGGCTATCATCAAGCTTCACTTACAAGTGCACATTATTTTTTGACAATCGTTGACGATTTTAGCCGAACTGTGTGGGTATATCTGCTCAAAACAAAGTCGAAAGTGTGTCGCTATCTCCTGCTCTTCTGTAATCAAGTCAGAACACAATATGGGGCAAATATCAAGAGTACTCAGAGTGATAATGGTTGTGAATTCACAGCCCCCGCATTGCGTGACTATTATGAACAGGAAGGAATTATATTACAGACTTCGTGCACCGTTACTCCCTAGCAAAATGTAGTAGTTGAACGAAAGCATCGTCATTTGCTGGACACAGCAAGGGCTTTGCGTTTTTACTCTTGGTTATCAATACATTTTTGAGGTGAGTGTGTTCTCACGGCAGCGTATCTCATCAATCTCATGCCTTTGTCCCCCTTAAATAATCGTACGCCATACGAGGTCTTACTTGGCAAAACACCAGAGTACAGTCATCTTCGAACGTTCGGATGTTTGGTCTATGCTAAAGATACTAGTTCTGGTCTCTCAAAATTTGTGGCACGAGGAAAGCCAGGTATCTTTGTTGGCTATCCCGCGGCGCAATGTGGGTATCGCATTTTTTATGTTGATCGTCAGGTTATTTATACATCACGTGATGTATTCTTTTGGAGGATGTTTTCTCTTTTAGGAAACTTAATACTCCGTCCGCAACTGACAGTGGCCTTGTTCGTCCCACCTGGCCACTCGTTGATGTCGATTCAAGTGACGAGGACCTCGTCTACATGGTGCAAGAAGTGGCAGCCTCACATGATTCCAACACACTAGAAACTCAGGAGGCAGACCCGCAGACACCGTCCCCTTTTACGCCAGCTAGAGAATCATCGAGCAACCCCATCACTACTAGTCCATCTCCCACAGCCCTGCCAAGTTCCTCCTCTACAGAAGCTTCCCCAAACTTGACTGCTGATCCAGGCGCTACTACCACTTCATTGCCGCCAGCTGACCCTCAGCCTCCTGCTCAGCCGGCACAACGTCATAGCACGAGGGTAACTCAACCCCCGGTTCGCCTTCGAGACTATGTTGTGGAACTTCCAGGCCACGTGCCAATAATGCTCAAGTTCATTACCCGTTAGAAGACCATGTAAGCTCTGATCGGCTGTCTCCTTCTTACAAAGCATACATGGCCAATGTCTCTTCTGTTTTCGAACCCGCGCATTTTTGGCAGGCTATGCGATTCAAGCATTAGTGAGACGCCATGCTAGCCGAGATCGCAGCACTCGAGGCAAATGACACTTGGTCCCTACTCAATGCGCCACCAAACAAACGTATAATTCAATGCAAATGGGTTTATAAAGTCAAGTATAAACCTGACGACACTGTTGATCGATACAAGGCGCGTTTGGTCGCCAAGGGGTTCACCCAAGTGGAAGGTATCGACTATCACGACACCTTCGCACCTGTTGCTAAACTAGTCACTATGCGATGTTTAATTGCGGTTGCGGTTAGTCAAAATTGGTTTCTTCACCAGCTCGATGTCAATAATGCCTTTTTTCATGGCGACTTGGATGAAGAAGTTTATATGGCAGTTCCCCAAGGTTTCCTCCGACCGGGTGATACACGTGTGTGTCGGCTCCACAAGTCTATCTACTGTCTTCGCCAAGCATCGTGAAATTGGTACCAAAAGTTCTCGCGTGCATTGCTTATTCATGGGTTTGTCCAAAGTAGGGCAGATCACTCGCTGTTTATTCATCGTTCTGGAGCTACATTCGTTGCGGCCTTGATCTACGTTGATGATGTAATCCTCACTAGCAACGATGCGCGTTTTATTTAAGGCGTGAAAGACTTCCTACATGCACAATTCACCATCAAGGATTTGGACACATTGAAGTACTTTATGGGCATCAAAGTAGCTCGTTCACAGCAAGGCGTTGTTCTTAATCAACGAAAGTACGTACTGGATATTCTCGCCGACTGCGGCATGGAAGGCACCCGACCAGAATCATCAAATTGGTCGATCACCCTCTTCTCCTGCCACGGATCCCTCAGGTTATTGACGTCTCGTTGGTCGATTACTTTATCTGACCGTCACCCATCTAGATATTCAGTATGCCGTCAACATTCTGAGTCAAGCAGTTCATAGTCCTACTCAAGCACACGTGGATGCCTCAGTTCGAGTTCTCCGTTACCTTAAGCAATCACCAAGACGCGACCTTTTATTCCCGGCCACCAATTCCATGGACCTTACGGCTTACTGTGACGCAGACTGGAACGGCTTCCCCATTTCCCGACGATCTACAACAGGCTACTTTGTTCATTTAGGCGGTGCACCCATCTCCTGGTGAACCAAGAAGCAATCTGTCATCGGCCACTCCTCTCTTCTGTGATAATCAAGCTGCTTTGCACATCTCGAATAACCCGGTGTTCCATGAACATACCAAGCATGTTAAGATGGATTGTTTCTTCGTTCGCGAGCGTGTGCTTAGTCAAGATATTGTCACCTGCAAGATCGATACTCTCGACCAGCCAGTTCACCAAAGGGTTAGGCTCTAACCAGTTTCAGCGACTCCTTTCCAAGCTTGGCATGTTGGATATCCATGCTCGCCCTTGAGGGGGAGTGTTGCGTTTTACGTATTACTTGTTTACTTGCAGATTAAGTAATCGTGTCATACAAGGAATGTGTCTCCTTGTTTTAATTGAACTCGAGTGTCCTGGGTGGTTTCCTAGCCGAGTTCTCCTGTCTTGGTCTTTATATATTGCTAAGTTGTGGTCATGTCACAGGCAAGCAAAGTATTTGTCACGTCATAATACAATTCTCAGCCGTGAGTTCCTTCTAGCTCACCGCGGATTAGTCTCGCTCAATCCGAGCGAGGATACCACGTAAAACCCTCGTCATGTAACCATTTCACCTCTAAGGTGCGGTTTATTATCCTGGGCCAAAACCGCATCTTGGCCATGCGGTTTCAGGTCTGACCTATATAAACTGCATGGCCGAGGTGCGGTTTTGGCCTGACCTAGCAAAACCACACCATGGAGATGCGGTTTGCTTCTTCAAAATAAAACCGCACCCTCCCAGTGCGGTTTGTGTGTCAATTATTTTTCGACACCCGACATATAGCCATGCAGAATAACAGACGTGGGGCTGCATGGCAGACGAAAACCGCATCTCTAAGGTGCGGTTTTCATCAGTGATTTTGCCTATAAAAGAATGCACCGAAAACCTCTTCTCTTCACACCGCTTCTTCTCCCTTTTCAATTTTCTATTCTAGCTCTATATTTCTTTAGTGTTTTTGCAATTAACGTTAACTCGTAAGTTTATTTTGTATTACATTTTATTGTTATTTGAGATTTGTGATTTTTATGATATTAACTGAACTACGATTTTTTTGCAGATGGCATTCCAAAAGTTCACGCTTGGCTTACGGTGGAATGGTTACACGGAAGAGACCAGAAAGGGGGTCACCTATGTCGGTGGCAATTTTCAGAAAATAAAGGTCGCTACCAGACCGCTGCTTGAAGACCTCCATCAAATGTGCACTAACGTTACTTGCATGGATGACACGAGAAGAGTTGATCGTATGGTGTACCGATATCCAAACATAGAAAGTGGGTCATTGTGGCATGAGGAATATCTCATAACCACTCAGGATGAAGTAGATTCCATGCTCGAATTCTTGAGGTCCAACAATCTTTCCAAAGCCGAGATGTTTGTTTACACCGAGGCGGTCGTTGGCGTTGGAGGTCATTCTGGACACGGTCAAAAATATGGTATTCATGGTGGAGGTGAATTATATGGCGATCATCCCTACCAAAGTTACCATGATCCTCATTCCTATTTTCAGTACCAAGAGCAAGGTGAAGGTCATCATCAATCTTTCCCGTCATATGAAGAAGAAGTTCAACCGGACCTCCCCAACCAACCTCGGTACAACTTCCAATCAGGCAGCGGTAGTTTTCACAACTACCATTATGGAGCTGATGAAGGTGCCTTTCATGAGCTGGATCGGATGGAAGTTGCCCTGCCAGCACCAGGTAGTGACCCCTTCGATGAAGAAGGATAGAACAACGTCAGCGCAGACAGCTCTGACCCTCTTGAAGGTGCTGATGATTCAGGACCAGAGTCAGACTCAGATAATGATGATGAGGTGGCTCGTGACCGTGTACCAGTCCCCTACTACAATCACATTCCAGAAGACAATTGGATGGTCGACAGCGACATGGAGCCTCCAGAGGTCCCAGTATGGGTTCCACTCACTGGGTTTATGAAGGGCCAACAATATGGCTCGAAGAAGGAGGTGCGGCACTCCATTGAGACTGAAGCAATGACTCGGCATTTTGAATAGCACACAACTCATTCCAACACTAAAAGGCTCTTAGTCAGATGCCGTAATCATCACGAGGGGTGCAATGTTAGGATTCGGGCCATCAATAGCAAGAGGCACGGTAACTGGGTCATATCCCGTGCGGTGAACACACACACATGTGTGTCATCCATAACTTCCCAAGGCCATCGACAGTTGAAATCCAGGGTGGTTGGTGTGACTATCAAGCATCTAATTGAGCAAGATCCGGACCTGAAGGTGAAAGTCATAATCGCTGACATTGCAAGTCGTTATGGTTATATGATTAACTATAAGAAGGCGTGGCATGGAAAGCAGAAAGCTTTGGCCGCCGTCTTTGGTGATTGGGGAGAATCATATGCATTCCTTCCCAGGTTAATTTTGGCATTGGAGGCATCTAACCCTGGTATTGTTTTCTCCCCTCGATACCAAGATGAAGAGATACAACCCCCAGAGCCAGATAACAAACGCCATTTCAGACGAATTTTTTGGGCATTCAAGCCATCTATTGATGGTTTTGGCTTCTGTGTCCTTGTGATCCAAGTGGATGGTACATTCGTTACCGGCAAGTACAAGGGCACTCTCCTGATTGCCAGTGGGGCAGATGCAAACAGACAAGTCTTTCCCTTAGCCTTTGCCATTGTTGAGGGAGAGAATGTTATAGCTATGGATGGTTGGGATGACTTCTTTGGCAAGTAATTGTGAATTGTTGATTGGTGGAATTTGGATAATGTCAAGTTAACACGAAAAAATGGAGAAAGCCAATTACATAGAAATAAAAACAAATTAAAACAACACTCAATTAAATAAACTAGGATAAGAGGAATAGTTCCAAGTACATATAATTAAAATTCAACTCAAAATACATCTCAAGCAAGTCCACGAGCTTCACCGGAACTGACGGTTTTCTTGCTCCTTGTACGATGGCAGACGGGAGTAATAATAGGTGGTTCCGGTGGCAAGTTTCGAATGTCCAAGATACTGTGGCGCTCGTCGGTGCTGTGCCGGTGGAGAGGCGGCGATTTCGCGGTCGAGCGGGGGACATCTGCGCTAATATGGTGAGGAGTAGGAGGCCACGACTGATGAGGGCGAGTCCATGGGTGAATTCGTGGGGCGCCGTCGTGGAGGAACCATCATGCCAAGTACCTGATGATGTAGGGGGGATCTTGGGGGTAGACCGGGCGAGAGTCGTAGTGCCACTGGGGGGATATGGGGGGTAGACTAGGTGAGAGTCGTAGTAACGTTGGCGGGGAGATGGGGGGTAGACCGGTCGGGAATCGTATGATTGTTGGCGGGGATCGTTGTATGAGATCGGGTTGGGATCATATAGGGATTGATGATAGCTCGGAGGGGATTGATGGTAGGTCAAGCGGGGATCGTAGTATGAGCTTGGGTGGGGATCGTTGTGGATGGAGGTGCGGTGCTCTTGGGCGGAACTCGGGCGGGGATCTTGGGCGGAACTCGGGCCGGCACCATGTGTCACAACCAATGGGGCCGGCACTTTCCACACCTAATATGGCGTTACGTCGGGCACGTTGGGCCTTTCCCGAACCTTCTTGCTCTTCTTTCTCTCGTATGGTGGTGGGGGATCGGGCACATCAACTTGTACCGGAGGTGGCGGAGGTGCGGGCATAGGCGGATATCTACGATGATCCCGACCTTGAGCTCTAATATAGCAAAGCAGACTGTTTGCCATCCTCCTGATGAAGATCACATCTTCATTGCCTAGGTCAACTCTCCTGGTGGTCATATCTTTGATCCGCTCGATCCCATCAGCCTAAATAAAAAAAAAGTTA